ACTAGCTCCTGACCTCTCACCAGACAGAGAGACAGAAGCCACTCTCATATATGTAACAACCTGAACTGAAACTATGTATATGTCATCTACTAAATAAATGTTTTAATCAAGCACCTCTACTAAAAGCTTAATACAATATAAGTGTTTTGTAAGCATGTATTGCAATTCCTTTAATATGATAACAGTATGCATAAACATCTTAAGGCCATCTTAAAGCTATCTCTTACATTGTTAAAAGCAATGATCACACCGCAGATTATATTGTGCTGGTAAAATACTTTTGTTCATCCCCACATCGTACAAATGAAACAGCACAATCCTGTTAGGAACAGTCAACTGTGCTACGAGGAAAACATCTTCACTCAATCAGGCTCATTTAATAGTTTCACTTCCATCTCTCTGTAATTCTATAATTACTGTGAAGGGAAGATGTATATTTAATATCTCATCTTCCTTTACTGATGATATGGCATATTTTGTAACATTGGTTTCATAACTATATCAATAGCTCATCTCTTTTTCATGCCATTGATGATTATCTCTCCTCTGAGGCAACATCCGCCTCTGAGGCAAAGACATGCACTTAGCTCTGCTTATTTCAATACCTGATTGAAATCTGCTGCTTTGCTTTATTAAGACAATACCACTCATCATAAAATGATGAGTGGTAACGTAGTGGAAAAAATAAAAAGTTTGCAGTCAATTACCAGAGGAGTTGGATGGATTCTGCAGAGCACTATAGATATCGCAGATAGAAGCTGATGAATTTCAGTATAGTTTACCTGGATTTAGCTTTATGGGATCATCTATTTGTGTGGTCAATTATTGAATCTGCAAAGGGCAAAAGTTTGTTTTCACGGGCTCCGTTTTGAGATTAAGTAGATGTGACATCTCTGGTACCCACAATACCCTGCGGGAAAAGCTGGCTGTTAGCAATATTTCCCTGGTGACAGTTGAGCTTGGGCTTTACACCGTGTTACAGCAATTAGATCTCAATTAGTTCTGGAGTAAACACACACAAAGGGAGAGAGATGCAGTGTGTTTGAGAGAGAGATGTTAGCAGATGTAAAAGGGCCAGGTTCTCTCTGGGGTCTTGTTTGAACCTCGGTGTCCCACATGTACATGTTGTAGCCCTGTGGGCAGGATTCAATCTACAGCTCCAAGACATCAACACACAAACATCCAAGGGTAGGAACACCGAAAACAAACAAACAAACATATATAGACATATATATACAAATACATATGGGAAACCTTGGTTAAGGTAGTCAGGTAATTTGTCTTTAAAGAAAATGGCTTTCTGATTTCTTCTCATCCACTCTTCTACTATTGTTTTTTCCATTCTTTTTTGTTCCATTCTTCATATAGTGTCAACTTCAGGATCTGAAAATGACCCTAATGTGAAAGATCCAGTATCCGTAGTTCCTCTAGATGTCACTTGAGGCTGGTTCTATAAATGAATAAATGTCAAAGATTCTCATGTTAAAAACTTTTTTAAAAACCCAACCCTTTTAAACTTCATTAAGTCTTAATAATTTGACTACTTTGACTGACAGGTGGAAGCTGACACAGGTTACTGTAGCTGGCAGTTGTCTGCTAGGAATCACTAGATAGTTTGCCATTGAACTAGACCTGGTGCGATAAATAGTCTTGGTCACTATAGCCGATTTAATACTCCATAATGCAATTTAACCCTTCAACCCTTCTGGAACTACTGTCACAAACTATCAGAACTATCAACATGTGAAACAAAACAACCCATATTATAAAAAAATATGATGCTACAAACAGTTAAGTAAAATACTCACATTTCACTAACCAGTACTATTGTTATTTTGCACTTAGCATAAATCTGTGTCACTGAGATACATATGTACAGATTAAGATTGCTAGCATCAGCGACTAACTTAGTACTCAAGTCTGTCATCTAAATATGCTGACCTCCAACATGGAGGTGACTAAAATCCTTATATTGAGGCTTAACAAACCAACATGTGGTGCCGAGGGTGACAGTGTCAGTGTGGGGCAATGAGGGGACGTACAGTGTATGGACAAAAGCATAGAGCCACACCTCTTAATGTTTGAAGTGCGGTTTACAGTCCTATTGTGTCCTGAGAAGCCAAATGCACTGCAACACACCCGCAAACAGAAAAATGCATCAAAAGGACACAAAAGACAACAGAAGTGGAATAAAGCATTTGACCTCTCAAGGTCACATAACCATTCCCACAGGTGAATAAAATATTCTAAACATTTGTTAAAGAACATGAGTTGTTCTAAAGAGCTCGCTGAATTGAGCTGACAGTGGTTTCTGGTGACACTCTATCACTGCTGCAACAGTCAGATACTGGATATCCCATGGTCAACTGTAAGTTGTATTGTTGCAAAGTGGAAGGATTTAGGGATAACAGCAACTCAGTCAAAAAGTGCAGCTGTAAAATTAGAGTGGGGTTGCTGACTGGTGAGGCACATAGTACATAAAAGATGTTAACACTCAGCAACTACAGCACTCCAAATTGCTACTGGCCTGAACATCAGCACAAAAAAACTGTACTGGGAGCTTCATGGCGTGGGTTTCCATAGCTGAGCAGCTCCTGTAGGTGCAAAGTGTCGGTGACTCAGTATTTTCATTCATATAGTTTATTTAGAAAAGTGCATTTCCCCCTCGTATGCTAAACACTAAACAGAGTTTGGGTTCAGTTTTGAAGTTGGCCATATTCAGTTTTTTTCTTTGTCATATGTTTGGCTGTTTCTCCTCTCTTCTCTCCCTTTCTTACACCTTTGTCCAATAATCTTTTCCCATACCATCTTTTCCTATTACAGTTTCTTTTTCTCTCCTTCCTTCCACTCATCTCTCTCTCTATCTCTCCATTTTTTTAACCTTTAACCTTGTCTTCCTCTTCTCAGTTGATCACCCTCCTGCTATCGCCTCCCATCTCTTAAACTGTAACGCTTTTCTTCTCATCTTCCTTTTCTGCAGTTTTCTTTATTCTGCTTTTTCTCTCCTGCCCACTTTACGTTTTGTCTCCTCTTTTTCTCTCATTTCACTGTTCAGACATCATTTTTTTCTCTTTTCTTGCAGAGCATTTCTTAATCTCATCATCTTTTCATGTTGTCTCCTCCTTTCTTTGATTTTCTCCCTTGTCCTCATATTTTTCTTTATCATCCTTTCTTTTCTGCCTTCATCATTTTCCCATGTTTTTTTTGCTCCTTTCTTTTTTCACTTTTCCAAACTTATTATATTCTTTCCATATCAGTTTCCTCCCCTTTATTTCATTTACTCTCTTCTTATTTCATCTTGATTTTTGAGTTTTAACTCTTCTGTCTCGTTTCTTACAAACACTGTTTTCTCCTCCTCTAATGTATCTTCTTATGTCACTGTTCCACTTTCTCTTTTACTCTTCATCTCTTTTATTGTTCTCCTCTCCTGTGTTTTCTCTGCTGTTTTTCACTACTCTGCTCTGTCACTTCTTACATTCTTACTGTCCTTTTCCTTCCCTTCTTTCCTTCTATTTGTCATTCCTTCTCTCTTATGTCTTTTCCTCAGACCTTCTTCTACCCTCTCATTTCTATCCCATCCAACTCTTTCTCCTTTTCCTCACTCGTTCATTCATGTCCTATTTCTCTGTTATTCTTCCTTGCTCCTTGTCTTTCTTCCCACGTTCTTCTGCTATCACTCTCTTTATCTGATCATTTTATCATCTCTGTTTTTCCTTTTTCCTCTTCTTTCTCATATTGATTCACTAACCCCCCTCTTTTGTCTCTTTTCTCTTTTCCATTATATTTGTCTTTTCTATTTTGTTTTTCCTTCCCCCTCATCTCCCTTGTCCCTTCTTTCCTCTTCCCTCCACTCCTTCTCCTCTCGGTTCTCCTCTCCTCTCTGCTGGGTCGCCGCGCTTGTCGCGGGTGATAATCCATGTCACGGCGGCTGATTGGGGATTAGGACTAGCAGTTTATTCACGGCAGGCAGAATGATACAGCGCTTAGTGGCACAGGCTCCCGCGGCAGCCGCTCTCTGCTGAATTAGCAACATGTTTGAATGAGATAAAAGAGACAGCTTACCCCACCGCACTCCACCACCTAATCCCTATACAGCTGTGAAATGAGCCGGGCCGT